CGGGCTGCAACAAGGGTTTTGTTGGGTTGATGACACTCATGGCCCCGGTGAAAAAGGCGGTAGGTTTTGATCTCATTTTCGTTCCCAGGCACCCACCTTTGCAACGAAGCGCTTTGGCTCGGCTCTCTGCCGAAAGTTCCACAACTCTCGAACTTCGAACTCAGTACAGGTTCGGATTTGTACTTGAAGGCTTGAAGGTTTGAGAATTGGGGCGGTGTGAGAGAGTTTGTTTTGTGGCGTGGGGTATAGTCACACTGAGGCCTTCACATCAGTGTGGCTCAACCACAGCATTGAAAAGAAAAACATCCCCCTGAGGTCTCATTTGTTAGCCATTTTTGTGTTTGGTGATTGAGACTTGTTTTCGGTCTTCCAGAAAACGGTAATTTTCATCTTCCGCATCATCATTGATCATCCAGCCAGCCTTGAACAGTTTGTCCACTAGAGTGATATACTGGTGCATGCTGAGAGTATTGCTTAAGAAAGGGAGAACCAAGAGCCGCTGATAGGTGCCATCCATATCTCGCAAATCTTTGCAGTGAGCTCTTCTATGATGGAAGGCTGCTGAGTGGTGTCACAGCCGAGGCAGGTACGGGGAACCTATGCGAACCTGTAGAATCTGAGACACTCGCTACCAAGTTTGGCATTGGTTTGGACGGAGAAGTATGGTCCAGAGCAAATGCGGATAAAAAATACGGAACCGTAGCTTCAGTATGATGGGCAGGATGTAGAACGCCCGATTCACAGTGCGCAATCAGGAGAGGTCTTCAGCCCTGGGTCCTGGTGTGGCTCCACTTGCAGTAGTGCTGAGCGAAGGTGTGGTCTTACTTGTCGACTTCAATCCATGTTCTTTCCCCTACACAGGTAATTTAGTCGTTTTTTACACGTAAAGTAATCCAACCTCATAGCAATGGCCTCCAACCTAACAGCGATGGCCTCCAACCAAATCGAGATGGCATCCAACCTAATAGCAATGGCCTTCAACCTAATAGCAATGGCCTCCAACCTAATAGCAGTGGCCTCCTACCTAATAGCGATGCTAGTGATGGCCTCCAACCTAACAGGGAAGACCTATGAGCGATAGCCTCCAACCTACTAGCGATGGCCTCCAACCGAATAGCCTCCAACCTACTGGCCTCCAACCTACTAGCGATGGCCTCCAACCTAATAGCTTTGGCCTGCAACCTAATAGCGTTGGCCTCCAACCTACGAGCGATGGCCTCCAACCTAATAGAAATGGCCTCCTGCCTAATAGCGATGGCATCCAACCTAATAACGATGGCCTCCAGCCTACTGTACGAGTGATGGCCTCCAACCTACGAGCGATGGCCTCCAACCAAATAGCGATGGCATCCAACCTAATAGCAATGGCCTCCAACCATTTTCTTGTCCCTGCAGAGGTAAGTCTTTCAAATTCTTTCAGGTGCAAAAGACTTGTCTTTTCTGAGATGTGTTCTTTGTCTTGTCTCGCTTGCGGGAAACCATTCATTGGGTGACCTTGACAGGATCAGAAACGCGTGTCGGACAGTCCTACCGCCATGATGCTGAGGCAGGACACCAATTCACAAGTGTCAGTTGTGGGGCTGTAAGAAGACTAGAAGAAGACTAATTACATCTAATTACGTGTTTCCTCGGCGATGCTATTGCCCTCTTGCTCAAGGTCGCAATCACCCATGATTGCCCGAGAGCGCGAACCGAACCCCCAGTTGACCGGTAGGTCCTGATCCATCCTTGGGCATGGCGCTGCGGACATCATGGGCCATCGGCATCTTCCCACTGTTTGTACTTCTGGCACTTCTGGTGCCATCGGCATCCTTTGAGGAGTCAAGTGATTTGGACTGCTTGGGAGCAACCTCCCTCCTGCAGAAATCGGTGGAGGCAGGTGCACTCTCAACCTCAAGTTGGGCCAATCAGCCTTCCTGCATGGCAGATGATCTGGAAAAGATGTTGAAAGGCTTACAAGAATCGGGTGAGCAGCACTTGAACAAGTATTTGGGTTTCCCAATGATCTTATTGCTATGCGCTAGTCTTCTGATTGTGTTCATGGGACACAAGCTGGTGCCTGTCGTCGTCGTCACCAGTGTGTCCTTGACCGTCTTCTTCATATCCTTCGAGTTCCTGAGGTGCCTTGGGTAGGCCGATAGAAGAGGTGAGGTAGCCAGGGGCTAGCTAGGTAGCTAGTAGCTAGTAGCTAACAAGTAGGATGCTACTACCAACAGGACGCAGGATAGCTCACGCTTCTTCCACCTGAGGGCGCGGGGGAGCTTCCTTGCTCGCACTATTTTGGTTCCTAGATTCATTTCCAAGAAATATTAATATGAAGGCTCATCTAGCCTGAACCGGGTGTCCTCCAAATAGCGAGTGGGTGTCCAAATTTCTACCCGTCCGGTAAACTCCAAAGCACACAAGCTGGCAGCTTTTTCCACGACTCGCAGAATTTGCTGCAATTTGCAAACAATCAGCACTTGCACGCATCACGTGGCATCCCATTCAAAACCATAATGATAGCAAATAGCACCAAGTTCAATTACCAGGCTCCATGCGCACATTGCAACCAAGCCAGCAGGTCAAAAGGTTGAATGTTCGCTTATGCTATTTTTCACTTTGATCGTCCATGTGACGCGATATTGTCCCCCCGCTACCACATCGCCTCAACAAGTTGCGGCTCTAAGAATCACGAAGCTTCAAGGCAACCAACGGACGCGACCGTTTTACTCGAACAACTCTCACCTCGTCCTAAAGCCCTCCAGAAGCTTAAAGCTTCAAGAAGCACACACCACAAACTCAAACAGGTTGTGTAAACGAGCACACCGGCTGCCAGCTAGCTGGCAGCCAAATAGCCTACCAAGGTGAAGCGCACCCAGCTCAAAGCCCCGGCCCTTCTGCTTTGGTCTTTGTTGGAAACTGAGGTGTCCTTACTGAACCAACACAATTTAACAGTAAAATCGTGACAAGTCCTTTATGCCAAACAGGTTTTGCAACACCTCATTACTCCAAGTGCAAAGCGGTTGGACCCTAGGTATACCAAGTGTTCGAGGTTTTCCTGGCCAAAAAGATTTGGCTGGCTATATTTTGACGGGTTTTCCTGGCCAAATGGATTTGGCTAGTCAAATTGTGACGGGTTTTCCCGGCCAAATGGATTTGGCTGGTCAAATTGCGACGGGTTTTTTAAAAAACCCATCACATTTTTGGTGGCCAAATCCATTTGGCTGAGTGGTTTTGCTCAGAAAACCCATCACAATCTGGAAGCTCGGCTGGCCCCAGAAAAGCGATGGGTTTTTTAAAAAACCCATCACAATTCCATAGGTTTTGGAAAAACCCATCACTTTTTGAAGTTGGTGATGAGCTGGAAAGTTTGACGGGCTTTCGTTTTCCTTATTTAATTGCGACGGGTTTTTCAAAAAACCCATCACATTTTGGGGCTGGGGCCCCGGTCTGCAACGTGACGGGTTTTCCCGGCCAAATCAATTTGGCTGGCAAAAAATTGACGGGTTTTCCGTCTCCAATTCATTCATTCCTGCAAGGCCCCATTGATCGAGCTTGGCCGGGCGCAAGGCACTGAAGCTTCGGGCGCACATTGCACCTACAAGCTTCAGGGGGTTGCATCCGACTGCTCCAATTATAATCTTCCAATCCAAGATCGTTGAGCCTCCGCTCCTGAGCACCAATACAAGGTAAATGTCAAACCGAGCTGGGCATATTGAGCAATCAGCATATAAGCGCAGTGGTTGGTGCTTCCAGCTGGCTTAGGCAATCCTCGGGGCCGCACAGACCTACATCAACAAATGACTCCGCAGAGGGTCGAGAAAGATCTGGCAAATAGTGTGAAGTACGAGTTGGACCTATTGAAGTTGCAACGTCCCGGTCAAAGTCAAGCCTTTCTTTTTGCAGCTCCAACAGGTCCACGTTCTCCATGCAAGTGCTTTAAAAATCTTGAAGCGAAAGCTCTATCAAAATGTGGCGCAAAACTTTTGAAATAGTGGCGCTTGGCTGTGGCGCCAGAAGTGGTGGATTATGTTCGTGGTTGTGAGGAAGGAGATGGTCTCTGCAGACTCTTCACACGTAACGTCTCCATCATCATCATATCTCCACGCTGGCATGGCTGCCCACTACGAAGAAATCTAAATTCTTGAAGTTCCATGACTGTATATATAGGTCAGTCTTGAGTGTATCAGGCGCATGTGGATGTTGCCTCATTCTTAGAGCTCTTTGCTCCCAAGCAGGACCAAATAAACTACATGGCTGCGTTACATGCTTTTAACGGAGCCAGCAAGAAACTTGACAACAAGGTTCTATTCCAAATCAAACACCCACTTGCTATTTGGAAGACACCCGGTTCAAGCTAGATGAGCCTATGAGTTGTTTGCTAATCAATGAACATGAATACACTGTTGATTCATTCCATCTGTATGGAGTTCTTGGCCGCTTTAGAAGGTTTCTGTAACTTCAAATTAGAGCGTCGAGTCTTGCTTGGCCTTCTAATAAGTCTAAATCTGCAGCGTTTGATACAGAAGAATCGCCACCTCTGTCCACAAAGAACGAACATGGGAAAACAAACAGAAAGTCCCAACACAGCTTACACAGCACCGTCTAAAGCTTATCTGTGTCTTCGCAAGGAGCACCACCAAGACCTGTTCAGTGCCGATTTGGGTCAGTCTTGTCCTAGCCGTTGCAGCGGCAGTGGTGGCCATGTGCTTCCTGGAGGTCGGAAGCGCGTTGAGGTTGCACAAAATCGTGGATGCGGAACACCTGCACTGTGCATGTCTTGAGTATTTTGCAGCATCAAAGGTAACGTCATTTCTCATCATTTCTTGACCTGAAAGGTGGCTGTCATTGTTCCAGGAGGGGTTTTTGGAGCGATTTTGGCATACCAGGTTCAGGCCTGGGATTTGGAAGGAGTTAAAATTGCAAACTGTGCTGTTTTCATTGATGTTTGCAACGGGCTGTCTTTGGCTGAGTTAACCGACCAGGCCATTGTGTTGACAGCGTCACCATCCTTGGAATCCAATGTTTTTCTGACACAATACTTCTGGAGCATTGCAATCCTTGCAGCGGTCATTTTCGCTTATCTCGCTCACAAGCTGAAGGACCTGCTGCTGTGCACATCATTGCAAGAATTGTTGAAGCCCTTCAAGACTGAATCCAAGTCATGAAACCATATTCTACCTTCTCGGGCATGATTTATCTCTTGAATCATTTGGCAAGCAGTTCTGGTGTTATATCCCATCATGTCGCAGAGCCCCGAGCACTATGATGTTTGTAGGGAGCATGATAGACGCCATCAGGATGACATCTTCATCCTTTTGACTTCTGTCTTGGGAGCATATGGTTTCGAAATTGCCTTGCGCGGAGTCCTATTAGATTACTTCTCTGTAAAGATGACGTCTTTGGCTTCATTGATCTCCATGCTGGCTGCATTTCTGGTGGGCCTCTTTGTTCAGCACACCTTCACCGCATTGGCATTGTTTACAATTTGCTTGGCTGCTTTTGGCAATTTGTAGAAGCCTTTGATGCATCTATAAAATACAATATAGATCCTTTGGTAATCCAGTTTGGGGATGCTTTTGGGCATGTTTATAATTCATAGTACTAAGTACTAAGACTAACTAGTTACTAGTTACGATCATAAACTCCTGCTCTGTGCATTTTGCGAGGCACAGATCATCAAAGTGAAGACTTAAAGACATGGCGCCATCAGAATCTCAAGACCCGCAGAACTGTGTGGAGACTGAACATGGAGACTGCACCAAGCGAAGATCGTGAAATCGTGAATGCTATGAGGGGATAAAAGGAGTGACAGATGGTCGGTGTAGATGGATATGTTCGAAGTAGAACAGAGTCAATCGAGTCAGATGAATAATTTTGAGTCATTCAGTTTTCTGAGTGAAGAGGCGCAGCTGTGTGCCGCATGGCTTGGCCGTGCGTCCCTTTGTGGAAGACTGGCAGTGGAGGACACCGTGAAGGCTTCACAGTCTTACCGAAATCTGTGCTTCCGTTGGGGCGGTAACCGCCCGGGCGTTCGCCTTCTTGAAGAACTCCTTTGCAGGACTTCGGTGTGATTTGCTTGTACAAATCGCATGCAGAAGCTTGTTCAGATGCAGCCAAAGCAGGCTTGAGCACTCCCGATCCGACGGATGTAGGTTGTGGGATATGTCGCAGCGAAGTCAGAAGTGAAAGTCGGAATCATGAAGCAAACAAACAAGATCAAAATCTATAGGTCAAAGAAAAAGTTTAAAGTGTTACTTTTTCAAGGTGACAGAATGCATGAGCTTTGGGCGCAAAGCGCCAAGGTGGCCTTAGGGGAATCGACTTCGCCACGGTGGATGCCTTCCAAGGCAGAGATCTTTGCTCAAAAGACAAGGAAAAGCTTTGTTGAACAGAGAAAGAGCTTGTGCAAATCATTTCTGCTTGAATGTTCAGAATGTGTGAAGGACATGTCCAATGCTTCCCTGGCAACTCAGTTTGTGAGCCGTGGTTTAAGCAAACCATATCGCCATGAAACCATGTGAAACCATGACATAGGTGGCGAACGAGAAGCGATCGTGCTTTGCTGTGGCCGACTCTTGACATTGATCGTGGCTTTGGTGGGCTGGCAGGGCCGGAGCACCATGGGTCGCCATTGAATGAGACACATCCGATCATACAATTTGTCCATACCCTGTATCAGCATTACTAAATAACATTAGCTGTATATACATATATATGGCTCAGAAAGCCTAAAGCAGGCACTGTTCTGGGTTTCTGGAATCAAGGAAGTCCATTTACGTTCCCCCCAGTCCTGCTGTCGCGACTGCACTTACTGCTTGCAATACTATGCGGTCTTGTTCACAGTGTTGCTTCTGTGGTTTCCAGCTCCACAATGTCGAAAAAACATTTCATGCAGAGACCAAGGGAATACGTAAATCTAATGTACTATACCTACTGATAAAAGTCCAGGCTCCACTCCTGTGGGTGGTGATGTGGCTTTTGCATCCTGCCCTCAACGATTGAACGTGGCCCTGCACGAGCCTCAGGGATATTTTCCAGTGATTTCTCAGTGTTCCAAGAGAACGCAGGTCGAGGAAGATAATTCTTTCATACATGGTACAAACTGTGAGCTGCATTTTTGGTGAACTGAGAAAGATATGACATGGTTATGTAAACTGTTATGATTCAAAGCAAGATAGTGCAAGCGAACAAAGAAGTGCAAGATAGTTCTTCAGGTCTCGGGCCCGGCGGCATTTGGTGATCTTCGGCACGAAGAGTTTTTTGTCGACACATCCTATCTTCAGTGTCCCAGCACGAATTCATTCTTGAATGTTCCTGATGTGCTTTGTAGCTTCTTGTTACTACTAGTAAGACGCTTGTTACTAGAAGCGATGCACTTGTTACTAGTAGCTTATTGAGATAGCCCAAAAATGTTCCTGATGTGCTTTGTTTCAGAAAGGAAATCAAATGAATTGTAGGACGCTAAGCTCTGCAGAGTGTGTCTCGGCACAAGGTCGAGTCCTTTCCATTGCGGCTGCGAGTGGCCGTGTGCACGGTGCAGCGGAAGTGATGGGGTGATTCGGTGGGTTGTGCTGGGCAAAGAAGCTAGTAGAAACAAGTGCCACGCTAGTAGTAACAGGTGCCTTACTAGTAGTAACAAGAAGCTAGTAGAAACAAGTCATTCAGTTTTTACTTTCGACGACATTCACGTGGCAACGAGACATTCGTGTGGAATTCAGGGGAGACTCTGGGGGAGCGGAGTGCAAAAGAGCAACGAGCAGGCTACAGACTTGCTGCTTGAAGCTGCTTGAATGTTGAAATTGGAACTTGACCGATTTGCTTGCAGCTTGCGCATGCTGGGTGGGGTTTTCTTCGTCCTTGCAGATGGAAGTCTCGAGTGAACATTTATATGGGGCACATTGGAAGGGGTGTGGGTGTGGGTTTGTGTGCGTTTGTCCTCAATCAAGGCACCCCATTTGCATGTTTTGGCCCGATCAGCTTGAAGTTCGGTTGTGCAATTGACATTTGAAATCTGACCACTTTCACATCTTCAAACCTCACAGAACTTCACACTTCTTTGCAGCATCTCATGTGAAATTTTCCCGACTGGCTTCACCGCATCTTGCCTCAACCTCAGAGCAGCTTCACAGCCACTTGAGAACTTGTGGGCCTGCTAGAGGCACTTGAGCAAAGTGCAAAAGGTCAGGGCTCACAGGGCTCACAATTTTGGAAAACATGGAAGTTGTCATTTTCTTTGAAAGAACGACATCAATCCCAAAAACGAAACCTAGTCTTGTGACTGTACACATCTTGGCGTCATGTCGATTGTATATTTGCAGCCTCTTTCCTGTACGTAGTAGGTAGATGCTGGTCTTTCCTGTTTGCACATATTGGCTTGCCTTTCTGCGAGGCATGTCACAGTAGTGAAAGCACATAATACGGAAAACAATACCAAACGATACAGGAACAAGGACGCTACTAGGAACAAAGGGCATCGCTACTAGGAGCAAGGACGCTACTAGTAGCTCCTGGCCTTACTACTAGGAGCAAGTAGCTACTAGGAGCAAAGGGCATCGCTACTAGGAACAAAGGCATCTAGCCTGTTCGGATTCCTCGGGAAGCCGGTTGCCCACTTGGCTACGACTTCCGATTGTGGGAGCTTGCAATCAATGATAGTGCTTTTTTCCTCACTCTCTGAACCCTTTTGGCCTTACATGGCCTTACTGAGTAGCAGTTCTGAATGCTTGTTTGAGATCTTGCATCCACTCTCATCATTCGCAAGCTCACTGCCAGTCTTAGCATTCGTAAACGATACTTCCCAACATGTATGTACTTCCCAAATAAAATAAGCAACCGATTGAAAAATCGATAATCGCAAAACGATACCTACTTACTTTCTTCCACCCAGGGGCCCGCTAGTTTTGCTGGTCGCTCACTTTGAGAATCGATCCATGCCCTGCCTTCAGAACAAGAACACAAGAGGTTTAGCGACTCACTGACTCACAAATGACAAATTATAAAGGCAGAGACAACCAAATTACGGGAAAAAAACGAAAAGAAATGCAGCACCGAGAAAGCGAACAAAACGAAGAAACTCCTCGACTAGCGCTTTGTCTAAGCTGCATGCTTTTTGGCCAAAGGTACTGTGTTTTTGCAACTTAGAAGTGGGATCCCTTTTTGTCCCGACTGCGGGATTACTGAAACTACACAACTGATCGCTCATGAGTACTATAGCGGCCTTTGGAGTAAGTTTCTAGAGCAGTTTCGGTTTACTTTTGCGGTCGACCCAGCCCGAAAAAATGAATAGACTTCTGTGTTTTCTGCAACTATTTCGGATCCTCCGCATCCAAAGAAAAGTTATTGAGAACTGCTACGGCAGGGCGGAATGTGGATCTCCACAGAGATGTGATGGTTGAGTCGTGATTCCTTCATTTCGACTTTTGCTCTGGAGGGCTGGCCTGAGGGAAAGGACGACTCAGTCCTGCATTTTGCAGAAAGCTTCTGAAAAGAACAAGCCAGCTTTGACGTGACAGATCCTGCCACTAGCCATCCGGCTTGTACTTGGACCACTTCCAAGCTATGTTTACTGAAGCCTTTCTTGTCTTGACATGTTCTTGTTTGCGAATCGACCTCTAGCTTTCACTACCCTTTGCTACTGTTAGCTACACGCAATACCCTATTTGTTCGCAATGGTTGCTTGAGATGAAGTATGATGAAGTGGTGGTTGAGGCCAGGATAGTAGCAATCGATCTAAATGTATTAACTTGAGTTGCAATGCAAACAAACAATGCGTATCATCGTAGTTTGGGAGAGTGAGGTCGAGGATTCGGGCTGTGAACCTGTCAGCACGTGCCCTACCGTGCGTCAACAAGGCAATGTGGCAATGCCAAACAAAGATCCCGTGCTGCATCGTGCCATGTCAGGGTAGCGGACGGGCAAAGCTCGAGCACTTTTCATTTGCCCCTCTACTAGTGCAGTAGGCATACCAGAATTTGCAATTATATACCTTGCTGCACTAGCAATCCACGTATATCAGGACAAAAGATCATTAGTTGCCGCCACTTCACGCCGCGAGCATGTCGCATGTCAACTTTACTGTTTTTCTTCACTGCATGCTTTCCCTCGTTTTGAGCTTGCGCATACTGCTGTTGGAAATGGCCAGACGGAATCCATCGGATTTGATTCGCCCAGAAATGCCGGGATCTGAACGGCTTGAGCGGTCTGTGGCATTCGTTTGGAAGCCCAGACGGAGAGAAACGCCTGTCGGTTGTATCCTCGCCACCGTTCCGATAGCACATGCTGGCGCTAATCAGACAAGAACCAGGTATTGCACCGGGAAGCTCCCTTTTAGCGGTCTTCCAGGTGCAAAGTGAACGGTCTCGAGCAGCTTCGGTCGTCAGCTTAGATTTACCAAGTGGCTCAATCAGGGCAATACTGTAGACTATTTCAAACTCCCAGCTTCTTGGTGCATGTTATCACATGTTATCACATGAAATTCTGAAGCCAATAGCAGACCAGGCGTGTTCGGCATTTGAGGCATCTATTGCAGGGCAGGCAAGGTGGTCATGTCACGTTGCAGGGCTAAAAAAGAACGCTTTCTTTACTGCCGCTTTAATAGGACATCGAAAGGGTGCTGCCTGTTGCATAAGGCAGGTGTTTGAGGATTTGGGGCATTGCAACAGGCGGCCTCACAGCGCTCCAGTGGCCGTTCAACAGGCCAGCCCTCTATTTTGAGAACAATCTTCCTAAAGAGGAAGGAGTTTAAGGCTGCTAAGAGGCTTGCTGGCTTCGATTGCAATCTTCAATAGGCTCAAGGCTGTTGAACATCTGCGCAAGG